AAAATAAACTGGAATGACTTCATTAAATCGTCGATAACAACACTTTATTTTTTTACGAAATTAAGTGGAATGGTACTTACAAAATTGTTGCGCTAACAAAACACAAATTAACCTGTAATTATGAAAAGCAAACAGAATATATAATTACGTAAACATAAACATACGGCGCTAGTTAAATGAATATTTTACTTCATGCTTCCCAGCGCATTAAGCTGATTAATATAAACGCTGAATTCGTTGTCCCTGCCGCGCCGAAGTGGCTGTAAATTTCCTGCTCTATTCTGGAGGATAGTTTTCCAGGATTTTCTTGTATCATATGCTTCTATAAAACGCGAAACCACAGCCTGGACACATTCATTAATTAAAACGTACTAATGATGGCTTTTCAGCAGAAACGTGAAAAAATTAATAACCATAACATTTCATGGATTCCTGTAACAGTGATATTCGCAATTTTCGCACACTCTCATCTGGCAATAATAATAATAACAAGTTTTTTATGTTGAATATAACTTAATTTTCGATGTAGCTTTATGATTTGCTGTTTAAACAATTTATAGAATATGAAGGCAATTACTAGCAAATATTTTTCTGTTTCGTGGAAGAAATACTGTTAAATAGAACCATTTGTCATAAAACACATAATAATGACTGAGAATACTAGCATTCCAGCTTTAAATATACGTTCGTTACATTTATTGCAGTTGTTATCGCTAAACCAAGGCAGTAAACGTATTTTTCAATGTTGAAATATTTTTTTGTGGCAATAGTGGAGCGATATATTAAAATAATTACAGTTTTATTATTCGTAATAGACAAAAATGTCGATGGTATCGTCTGTTACGAAAATTTGTAATCAAGTTATCCTTGGGCGTGAAACTGTTTTCTATTAGTGTCACAAAGAACTCACATATTTGTTCACTTTCCACCCTCTGTCAGTATAACATGACTGAATCATTGCACCCTCGGTTATAAATCAAATCACTCTCATTTGATACAAAAACTCAAAACCCTGGACAATTTACTACAATGGTATATTAATCCAACTGCGCCGATTAAAGCTGTTTGCCGAAATAAAAAGAAAATTGCGACCATGTGACCTTTGCCATTTACCTTCAAATCTAACAGTGTCGTATTCTACCAAACTCATATATTATACAATTAAAATTCGTAGTAGGTTGAAAAAATAAACGTTCTAAAATCAATAAAGAAACTAGTTTTTCGCAAGAGCTAAGTTTTAATCAGCCTACTACGAGAATGGTTGACTTTTAAAGCCATGGCATATTAAGACCCTTTGAAATGGTAAGATAATCTAAAAAATTGGTCTAAAGAGTTTAGACAGTACTTCCCTCGCTGTCGGAAACTTGACGACTGCATGCCTATTGTGTTTTTTTCCTCATTACATTTTTGTAGTGGGAATTTAAAAAAAATTGCGATGACGTCATCAACATTTTTGCAAGGACACGTATATCAGTTGGGATAGATGTAGTGTAATACTAAGAATAAAATTATTATATTCTCAAATTTTCGGGAAAATGAATTGGGTCGTTTTGAATATTGATTTGTAATAATCAATAAAGTAACGAAACAATTTACTCACGTATACGTATCAGAGGCAACTGAAAATCGTGTATGTATAAACATTCTTAATTTAAGATGACAGGCGTAACAGCATACGTGAGAGTCAAACAGAGAAACTGTAAACAAAACGACCATCGGTTTTATTGCTTCGACTTCCGCTTATTATATAAAACATTGGGTTTTATTTTAATTCTTGACGGTGAAATTCACAATTGGTTGATTATAAACATGTCTATTTCACATTCGCGGAACCCAGTGAGCGCATAAAACAAATCCAGGTCTGTAATGTTAAAGTCGATGTAAATAAGCGTGCTACCCTTATGTTTCAACCGAGTTTTTCCTTTAACAAATTTTGTGTCTACCAAATTGGGTTGGTTGGGGTGTAATACTAATAATAAGTGTTGCCTTTAATTTAATCAATAAAATAAATTGACTTCATTAATTTTTTTGAACCACCTCTTAAGAAAATCTAAAAAATATGAATGGAATGATAAATCACAAATACAAACTCATCATATTTTTTGCATTTTAGATAGGATTTATTCAGCAAAATTTAAGGGTGACGTCATCAATTTTTTTAGGAGGGATGAACAAATACATTTTGAACAAAAGTTTACCATGCTTATAATAACTTTAAAATATTTCCAAGATTTCAAAGCATTCGGTTTTGTAATTCCTGATTAAATCGATAAAATAAATTCACGCCTTCATTAATTTTTTTGAGTCACCCTGCATATGCAAATCCAAAAATATGAATGGAATGATAAATCACAAGAAGAGACTCACCATATTTTGTACATTTTAGATAGGATTTATTCAGCAAAATTTTGTGGTGACGTCATAAATTTTTTAGGGGGGACGACCAAATACGTTTTGATCAAAAATTTACCATACTTATGATAATTTTAAAATATCTTCAAGATTTCGAAGCATTCGGTTTTGTAGTTCCTGAGTAAATCAGTAAAATAAATTTACGCTTTCATTTATTTTCTTGAATCACCCTGTATATGCAAATCCAAAAAATATGAATGGAGTGATAGATCACAAGTACAGACTGATCATATTTTGTACATTTTAGATATGATTTATTCGGCAAATTTTCGAGCTGACGTCATCAAGTTTTTGGAGGGGATAAGCAAATATATTTTGACTAAACATTTATTATGCTCTTTATAACCTTAAAACATGTGCAAGATGTCAGAGCATTCCGTTTTGTAGTTCCTGATTAAATCAATAAAATATATTTACGCATTCATTAATTTTTTTGAGTCACTCTGTATATGCAAATCCAAAAAATATGAATGGAGTGATAAATGACAAGTACAGGCTCATCATATTTTGTACATTTTAGATATGATTTATTCGGCAAACTTTCGAGCTGACGTCATCAAGTTTTTGGAGGGGATAAGCAAATATATTTTGACTAAACATTTATTATGCTCTTTATGACCTTAAAACATCTGCAAGATTTCAGAGCATTCGGTTTTGTAGTTCCTGATTAAATCAATAAAATATATTTACGCATTCATTAATTTTTTTGAGTCACCCTGTATATGCAAATCCAAAAAATATGAATGGAGTGATAGATCACAAGTACAGACTCATCATATTTTGTACATTTTAGATATGCTTTATTCCACAAACTTTTGAGCTGACGTCATCAAGTTTTTGGAGGGGATAAGCAAATATTTTTTGACTAAAGATTTATGATGCTCTTTATAGCCTTAAAACATCTGCAACATTTCAAAGCATTCTGGTTAGCAGATTAAAAATTAAATTTCAAAATGTTGTTTTATAATTTTGATTTTTTTTTCCAAAAATCTGGACATTTCGGGTGAAAAGTCGATTCAGAGTTGTAAACTACATGTGTAGGACTATGTTATTTTATACAATTGAAAACCCATTTACTATGTACAATTTTGAAGTGACGTCATCGCATTAGTTGTGGTGATGATTAGACAAATTTTGGTTAGCGTTTTGCCATCTACATGATATTCTTAATATAAGTACAAAATTTCACAACAATCGGTCGAGTACTTTCGGAGATTATCTGTCTAATAAAAATCCGGGGGCAGACGGACAGACGGACGGACAGACGGAAATGGGAGACCTATTTCTTCGTCTTCTAGGGGTCATGAAAGATCGAGAAAACGTAAAAGTAGAGAGTCGGCCGACGGACTCGATTACAATACTTCCTTTGCTTACGCTCGGGAAGTAAAAATCACAAAATCCAGACTACTACACTCTAAAATCTATTTCTGACATATTTCAGCATTTTTTTTTCATACTTTGTTCATTTGAACCTGTTTCAATTTGTTAATTATTATTATTTGTTACATCTATGAACGTATGTAGATATATATTGTTGAAAAAAATGTTCGAATCTCGTTTAATAAAAAACTGTTCTAACCGTCATATAAACTTCTTAAATTTTTTTTTACAGAAGTTGCCTCCATTTACCCATAAAAAAGATGAAACGTCCATGCACAATTCTTATAATGCAAATAATCGGTTATTACGCAAAAATAGCAAAGATTACAGCCAAAATTTCCACGCCCCGCTTTAAATAGATACGAATAAAACAAAAAATTCTGTGTTGCTAGAAAAGATCACCATTCTAAGACGTCCAATAAAATTGATTTTGAGATAAGCCGATCAGCGCAAAAGGTCCTACTTTTATTGATACATGGGATCAAATCGGTAAATCGGCGCAGTTTGGTATTGTTCTATCCCGGAGAATGAAGTATCAATCTTCTTCAAAGAAAACTGTAATTCTTTCTACCACGAGAACGAACTGTCATTTTAGTCTTTACTGGCAACAACTCAAAACAAATGGCCTTTCAGATCGAATTTTCCAACCCAAAGCACTATGAATACATAGAAACATCCAAGTTAAAGTGAAGCGACACAATTTCACCTCCAATGATAACTCACTTATAAGACCTTTAGTTTACAAGATTTATAAACAAACTGAAATCGATCTATGGCAGTCTCAAACGTATCCATCTATTGTATGTTTACCGAAAAGACGCAGATTTTCTTCAGTTTCGATGTCAAATTGCAAGTATGAAGCTTTAATATTGTGCACCAATCTCATTTCCTGCTATAATAGGCAAATGACGAAATGCAGTTAAGTCATCCTGAAAACCACTGACATAACGCGTGCGTAATTTATGGCTCATTACAGTCTTATTATTACTTTGCAAAACACGTTCACCGTCCACTTATTTTTACGTTAACGTAACGAAATTGCAATCGTAGAATACAAAATCTTGACGTCTCATTACTTTCATCATTTTCCATTTTGCCGTTAAAGTAGGTTATAATTATTCATATGACGGGTGTATCGTTTGCAATTCAATTATCAATTTCAAGGGTCATTAGAAAAGACGTGTCGCTAGATGAATGGCAATACTTACACTCGATCGGCAATAATCCACCTGGAACAAAAGACAAGAGAAATTAAAATCAAAATACGGCAATCGCTGGTTAATTTAAATTCAAAATATAACAATAGGGGTTAATGGTCTATAAAATTGCAACAATAGACATTAAAAACGAATTCAACAACTGCCTGACAAATTAAATTAGCCATTAATATTCGAAAATAAAAGTCGAACAATTAGCATAAATAAATTCCGATCGGGTTACGACGGCGATAAAACTTTTTGAACAATAAGATATCGAGTTTATTAATTTAACCGTTCATGAATCTAGAGCAGACATTGCAAAACGAATCAGTAATTTTGTACATACAAGCGCTGTTTGCGATGTAACGGTGATATCCGAAACACAATACGCAATAAAAACGTTTTAATTAACACCTTGGAGCCAGTAATTTGGGAGTTTTGCTAAACAGTTCGCAAATCGACCGATTTTCCAGCGTTTGAGCTTTTATGGCAGCAAACACATTTATTCGTGACTTATTTATTAAATTTGACATTTCCAAATGAGTTAAGTGAACGGCTGTTGACCTTATAAATATTAACAACCAACACCTTAATTTACGAATTCCCAAAGCTAATTACTCCAACTGCGAACCGCACACTGAGAACATGCGAAATGCTAAATGCATTAATTCCTTTGATTATGTACTCACATAAATAATGAATTGAAGTTAGGTCGAAGGTTTTTTCGAGAGGGAGTAACGCGTTACCATCCCGCTGTGTTTTTAATACATAATTTAAGAACAAAAGATTGCTCGCCACTTTCACTATGAAACTTTAATCTGTTACGACACGCAATATAATACCATAAGGTGTTTCCCGTCTGTGTAATTAAGCTCTTCGTGAGAACTCTGATTTGTTGTAGAAATACATAATTAAATTAAACGCGGCAATAATTTACCGTTCAAAGATTGTTATTTATTCATAACAGCTACCGCATTATAATGCAATCCGTCTTTCTTCATGTCTCTATTACCAACTCAAATAATAAATTTAGAGAACATGAGACGAGCAGTGGCGTAACCGGAAATGGAAAACGCCCATGCACTGAATTTAAACACTGTTATGCATCATGCGACTTGAAAAAAAATTGCGAAACGGTAGCATCAAGTGGAGATTAATAAATCGTTCGTTATACATTAAAAACGAGTACGTAAATACCCTTCATCTTTACTTTTCGATGTGTTCATAAAAATTGCAACTTTTTTCTTCTTCTACCTCCTAAGCTACGGAAATATTGTTCGTTAGAATCCATTTGTGTGGCCGTTAATTTGGTAAGTCTGTCCTGCTTACCGTCTAGCGTGTGATGTCAACGATTTTCATACGTGATTTTAAAAGAATTCTACATGTTCAATCGCCTGTATGGAAACCGAAGTTTAATTGAAATTGTAGTGCCAGAATTCGAACAATGGTAATCTATGGTTTAACAACTAATCCTAATATTAATGAAATCAGTGACATCAATCTCTGTACAGTAAAAATATTACTTTATTGAAGACTCACAGTTATTATAGTTTAATCTGACATAAAATACTTATTTCTGTGTTCCAAAGTATCAGAAAAACATGAAATTAAAAAAAAAAAGAAAAATTTCAACAATTGCCAAATTGATATAACTAAGACAATATTCGTTTACATAATCCTAAGAAGTTTTTATTTATTTATTTTTTTAATACACAATAAATTTATATCGCGACCATTAAAAACCATCATAAACTGTAACTAATGGCGCAAAATTAATTTTAAAATGATTAAACAGTCTACTTTAGAATATAATTTACCTCACCGAAAATTGATCTTTCTTTCGTTAATAGTTTTGAAATTATAGGCCTGATTTATTACTTTCGAAACACCTTTCCTTCGCTACCAACCTGTTCAAGCTGTGGTAACGTTCTAACATTTGTATTATCCTACAGCATTTGATTTTCTTGATGCTTCAATTCGTATCGCAAATAGAAAAATTAAGTAATTTTAATACCTTCTCAACCAATAGGTATATTACAACTTAAAAATTTAAGTAAATAATTTAATAAAAACAGAGATAAAATAATCGACTGTGTCGAACATGGTTTCACAAATACTCCTATATGTTCATATAAAACTGAAGTACAGGATTACTTACGAAAGCACAGAGATAAGTAAACATTTTAACAAACAGGTAACGAATTTAGAAAGTGGATACTGAATATCTCAAATCGTAAAAATTTAGCAAAAAACACTCACGTTAAAAGGTTTTTCGAACCTGTGTATGACATACACTAAATCAATACCGAAACAGATAACTTTATCAATAATTTTCGTATTGCTGAAATGGGTAATTCGCATACATTGACTAGTCCTTTTAAACAATGCATAAAGTGGATCCAGCAAAAACATTTCTCATTCTTTGCGAATAGCTAGTAGAAACAAAGTCATAATGTTGAAAAATTGTTTGTTCTTGACTTTTTTTCCGAAACTGAAATAAAAGTACCTGGGTTATGTCTTGTCTATTAGATGATCTAATGAGAACGGATCAGAAGTGGAAAACTACATAAGTAATGTCATGTAATTTTAGTATAACAGACAAAGTTATAAAAAAAACTCGCGTTTTCCTCGTCGAAAGAATTTTAAAATTACAAGACTATTGTTATCTATGTCCAGGACTGAACATTCAAGAACTTTACTACTGTTACAGACCTATCAATGGATCCATGTGATTTCTGACTAGCAATCATACCACTTGTTAAATTCAATAAGCTTTAATGAATCGTTGACTTTTACTGATCAAAGAGGACCGTTCTGCTTTTAATTGTTAATAAAAACATAAAACAATAGGGCAAAAGGCTAAGTACTGTCGGACTTAAACAAACAAATATGTATAGAATACACATTATGTATAAAACATATCGAACAAGTTACAGATATAATCAAACAGATAAAATGAGTAGTAATCAGTCATGAAAGCATCAGAAGTGTGGAAGGTAGAAATTATAGTACCAATACCCTTTCTTCTGTTCATGAAACCTACTTTGAAAATCCATCAAAACCTGAAACGGTCTTGATTCGATAACATCAATCTTATGCTGTCGCAAAACTACAATATTATTTTAAACTAATCATTAAAGTTGTTGGCTTGGTTCATAATAATAACAATATAATACTTAGTAGCATTCCACTTTTAACCGACCTTAAAATGAATTGTGTCAAACGCACAACAACTTGCGCAATTATAATTATGTCAACGAATGAAACAAGTCAATCCAAGTTTTAAACAGCAAACAAAGGCGTTCTGAAATAATTTATAGATTAACTTTTTTCGAAAACTATGTAAGCAAATCTAAAAATTTTCTAATATTACCACAGTACAAACAATATATCCTTCAAAATATGTTTTAATAAAAACGTATTTAATAAATGTTTTTGACATCATCGTCTTTGAGCCAAGAGTTGAAAAAGGTTTTGTCACTCTTAAAGTAATTAACTGTCAAAAAACCTTGGCCTACAACAATGCTATTGCTTTACCAAAATTTGAAAACAATTTGTAATTTTTTTTTATTATTATAACCTCGGTGAGTTAAAAACAAATATAAGCATGCTATGAGTATGTTTTAAGTGATTTTTGCTTAACAAAATTTTGTGATGACGTCATCAACAGTGTACCTACTAACGATAACAGACTGCCTACTCCAGTTTTCGAGAAAATGAGATGAACCGTTCCTGGCCTCATTAATTAATTTTTTTGAATCACTTGCGTAAGTTTTAAAAATATTGATGCACTGACAAATCACAAATATAGATCCATAATAATTCGCATACTTTAGATAGGATTTATTCAATGAAATTTTAAGTTGACATCCTCAATTTTTTGTTAGGACATGGACGCATAGATTTTGATTTACCAGAGTATGACTAAGTTAAATTGCAAAATATTACACAATTTTGATTTTTTTTTTTTTCAAAAATTCTAGATGTCTTGGATAAATACGAATTCATAAACCACAACTGCAGGAGTACGTTATTTTATAAAATTTAAATAAAATTTACTACTGTAAATCCCATTGTTGGCGTATATCAGCAGACAAATTTTGGTTAGCGTTTTACCACCTACAGAACATTCCTAACATACATATAAAATTTGACAACAATCGATCCAGACGGACAGACGGAAACGCGAGAATGTGTATGAGTTCATGATCTTTACCGTATAAAGACTTTTATTTTAACACGCTTGTATTATTTACTGAAGCGACTCCTCTTTAATTTTAGTTAATAAATTTCTTTCTGTTTCCAAAAGTGTTTATTGGAAGCCCTCAATAGACCGGTCAGGATTACGGTATTAGGTAATAACAATTTTCAGCCCTGACTTTCCTTTCGATTGCTTACCTGAAAGGAACAAAGGTTATTGTTATGAATTATCATAACGCGTTTTTCGACTATTAAATATATTTCGGCAAGCAACCAAAAAGAAAAACAGGCAAGAGCTGTAAACCATTGCTCTGAGCAGTTTATTAAGGGTTTCCAATAAACATTTTATGGAAACAACAGTCAATGTTCACTAATTTCTGTCATTACTATAACAATAGTGACTTGTCAAAGATCAAAGATGAAATTTCGGAAAAATTCTGAACTTGGGAAGGAGTAAAAGAGAAGGTTGCAACTTTAGCCCTCTACTACCCTTGGTAATAAATGACGTAACACCGCCAGATTATCAAGTAGGGTGTAGCAAGTTGCAAGCAATAGGAAGTGGATTTGAAAATCAGAATGAGGACAACATAATAAACAATTAAAATTGAATTGAAAAAAAAAGAGAACAGAACTGAGGTATCAGGTAGATTTTTCACAGAAATAAGTAAGTTTTTGTCATAAAAAGGTACCAATCTCAATTTTATCTTATAAATAAATACGAAAAGTAGACTATTGCCAATAAAACAAGAATAGAAGAAAAATAAATGCAACAGAGAAATGAAGTTTCCGAGACAACTAAATAACAAAACGAAAAGAGACAAATTCGTAAC